TCTTTTTTTTTTTAATATATTTTATTGATTTTTTACAGAGAGGAAGAGAGAGAGATAGAGAGTTAGAAACATCGATGAGAGAGAAACATCGATCAGCTGCCTCCTGCACACCCCCTACTGGGGATGTGCCCGCAACCCAGGTACATGCCCTTGACCGGAATCGAACCCGGGACCCTTCAGTCCGCAGGCCGACGCTCTATCCACTGAGCCAAACCGGTTTCGGCCCTAATGTCTTTTTGTTTTTTCCATTCCAATCGATTAACCTCATTAATATCCTTAACTTCATGAAATTACTCCTTGTTAAATCCAAGCTCCTCAAGCCTTCATCAAAAGCGCCATGGTCAGACATCACCCACCTAACCCCTGTTTTCCAGCTCAAGCCTTCAACTCCTTCCAGGTCTCACCATTTCCCGTATTCCCTTATTTATTCCAATCTTCTGGCTCCCAGGTCCCCCAACCCCATCTCGCATTTCCTTTAAGACCTACCTCAATGTAGCTCTTGCTCTATAACCCTTCCCTATTGACCCATCTTGCAAAATCTATCCTTGACTTTGAATTCTTTAACTGGTTTCCTCATCATTGGTTCCCTAGAGTCTCAATGAATATCTGCTGAATGACCTGATCAAACATTTGCAATATCAAAACATCCGAATTAGACTCTAGGCAGTCTGCTCGTGTCTTTAACCTCCACAGAGAGAGCGTACACGCCTCAAGGTCAGAGCTCATGCCTTATCTCGTACCCTGCAGTAGATCTACCACAGGACACACAGTAGGAACCCAATGGACATCAGATGAACTGAACTGAATTATATATCTCCACCCCCACCTAAAACAACCATGGAATCAACTTGAAGATAGTCTCTGCAAGCAAGAGAGTCAGACAGAAAGGTTAGATTATTATGAAAAAGTAGGTTGCTGGCCATTTTTTATGTCCTAAATTTTGATGCCCATTTTTTTTTGGGGGGGGGGGTGTGTCCTAGTAATGATCATAAGTACTTCAAATTAAGTATACTAGACAAGAGTACTTTTTAAAAAATATTTTTTATTGCTTTCAGAGAGGAAGGGAGAGGGAGAGAGAGATAGAAACATCAATGATAAGAAAGAATCATTGGTTGGCTGCTTCCTGCATGCCCACACTGGGGATCGAGCCTGCAACCCGGGCATGTGCACTGACTGGAAACCGTGACCTCCTGGTTCATAGGTCAACGCTCAACCACTGAGCCATGCCGGCTGGGCTAGACAAGAATATTTAAAAAAATATATATATCAATGTACTGTCTCTGTTCCAAAAACATAACTGGCACCAATGCAGAGTCAAATAGGGAAATGGCGAGGGCTTCCAAGGTGAGGTGACAAACAGGATCACCTACACCTCCTTCCTTAGGGAGAACACCTGAAAGGTGACACCACTGAGAAAACCCTTCCTCCCCTGAGCAGTGTTCCTCAAACAGTGGCCTAAGGCAGACCACCTCACCTTCAGTTCTGTGTGTGTGTGTGTGTGTGCGCGCTTTCTCAGGGGACACTCCGTCTGGAGAGGCTGGTGCCCTGGGTTTGGGGCAGGACCTTGGCAGAAATCTGTTTTTAACAAGCTCTCCAGGTGATTCTTGTGCATAATAAAGCTTGAGAACCAGGGCGATGACACTTAACCCTGTAACTGACCTTCAAATTGGAAGACGATCCCCAGGCATCAACTTAAAAAACTAAAAATGCAGCCTTTGTTTTTTTTACACACAACCAGGCTTGCCTGACAGAATACCTACAGCAAGATGCCCCCAACCTCGGCCACGCAAATGGCTAACAGGTAGGGAAACAGTTCACTCCCTCCGCCCCACCTGCTTGTCCAGGTGCCCCAGGCTGCGGACAGGAACCTCTCTTTATATCCACTGTTTCCACATCACTAGGCAGGGACCAGACGCTTGATACTGTCCCATGTAAAACAGGGAGGGACACGGAAATGCTCTCCCCTTTGAAAGTGAGAGGTATGGGGGGAGAGAGGGTGCACCCAGCTCAGACATGGGGGATCCTGGGAAACCAAGCCCTGGTGTCTGCTTGGATCCGTAGCATAAGGCACCTTCCCCCAGGCAGCTCTACCCCAGGCAGCTCAAGCACAGGCACATTCTCTTAAGATGCAGATTAACAATGGACAACTGAAGTGCTCCACCCCACCCCACCCCTCTCCCCCATAAGAGGCCAGGCAATCAGGGAAAACCAACTTGATAAATGTGGCCCAGACTTGGCTGTCCCACAGCCAGGACTGTGCAGACATAGCAGAGACTGTCCTGAAACTCTCGGCAGCTACCCTGGGGCTCAGACGAGGGCCCGGGGCGGGGGGGGGGGGGGGGGGGGGGCACAGAATGGAGGAATAGGACACAGTGACCAATTCAGAGACATAGCATCATTTCAAGCAGAAAGGCTGGGCTGTGCCCTTGGAACCAGAGCTGGGCATGATGAGGGTGAGGGGCATGAGGACCAGAAGGGTGGACACTTGCTCTTTAGGCCAAAGCAACCACGAAGAAGAGGTTCTCCTCCTCAGAATGCTGGGCAACAGCCACTGAGGGGAAAGGCAGGGGATGCGGCACCAGGGCGCCTGGGAGGGAGTGGGGCAGAGGTGGAAAGTGGGGGCAGAGAGAGGAGAGGAGCATCAGCCAGCAGGCCTTCACCACCCCCGGAGATGTCCCTCCTGCCCCCGATTTCCCGAGTGGGGGTCCCAGGTACAGGGCACGAGGCGCAGACAGACAAGCAAAGTAAAACAGCGCCCATCTTGGGACAGGGCGGGAAGCGTCACATGGACACAGGGTGAGAAGAGAGAGCGCCTGAGGATCCCAAAGCCAACGCATGGGTTCGTCAGGCTTTGCCCTGAGTGTGCACTGCCTGTCAAGTGGCGCTGGTTAAAGTCTTCACAGGCGGCCATGCTCACTTTTCAGTAACTCGAATAAAGCCCGTTCTGTTCACTGAAAACACCGGGTATAGCTAAATCATAAAAGCCGAGCAGCCCGCCGTTCACCCTCAGTTCAGGCCGGGCCCCAGCAAGCAGCAGCCTGTGGCACGCTGAACCGGCCACCTAACGGCTCAGCGACCTCGGCAGCGGGAGCCATGGTGACCGCAATGACGCCACCGCGCTGCTTTCAGAGAACCCGCGCTGGCCCGCCCTCCTTCACCCCCGCCCCCAGGGACACACGGGGTCCCCCCTCTCCCTTCAAGCCCAGGGGCCTCGGCTGTGATGAGGATCGCCTGCTCCAGAGCAGAGGGAGCGGACAGGAAGGGAGTGAGCAGGAGGCAGCGGCAAGCCCGCTCCTCCCGGGAGATGCTCGCACCTGCACTGAGGGGGGAGGAATGGTGGGAAGGACGGACCAGGGGCCTCGAAAGGGAGCTGCTGTAGCTCAGGAAATGCCTCCTAAGGGGAGGGTGGGCCTAGGCGGGGAGACGAATAGCACAGGTGAGGGGTCTAGAGACCCGAGTCAGGAGGTGAGGAAGGTGAGGGGGGCGCGTGGGGGACCCTGCCTTGCAGGCTAGGCACGAGGCTGCAGGCTGCAGGCTGAGGGCTGGGTGCAGGGACTGGCCCGAAGGTCAGTGCATCAGTAACAAGGGGAGCTGGCCGGTGAGGTCCAGGTGATGCCAACGTGCCACCCACCGGCTCTCGCTTGCGTTCCAGCCGTTTCTCTGTGGCCGGGAAGGAAGTGCGGCGTCAAAGATGAGCCTGGGGTTCTGACAGGGCCGTCAGCCCTATCTTCTCATGGGAGTTTGGTTTTGTTTCCTGGCACCTTCCACCTTCACTGGACTGTTCAACATCACTCCAGGCACAGCCCCTCACCACCGCCACAGAACAGCCCGTCCTGTCCCCCTCACCCACTCCTTCCTGCGCCCACCACGGAGCTGTGTCACCACGTGCCACCATCCCAACAACCCCACGGGCTGGTGACCGATTTCCCGAGTGTACAGGTGAGGGAGTGGAGTCCCGGGGAAATGAGGCAGCAAGCCCAGGTCCCACAGCTTAGTCAGTGCAGGGATCAGGGTCAAGCCAGGCTTCTCACTCCAAAGCCAGTGCTCTCATCTGGTCCCGTCCCCCACCCTCCACCCTGCAGCACCGGGTTTCAACCCTGGCTGGGCAGTGGGATCCCCAAAAAGATGTGGATTCAGTTTGTGGAGATTGGGACCCAAGTTGGGTTACTTTTAAAAGTCTTGGGGTGATTTTACTGTGTAGCCAGGGTGGGAACCAGCATGCTGGAGACCCCAAGATTCCGGCACCAGCACGGAGGCTGGCTCAGGTGAGCAGTGAAGTCTCCTTGTGGAGTAAGTGAAGGAATGAAAGCTTTGCCCTTCCCTACAATTCTCCCCCCATCTTCCCATCATCCTGACCCAAAACTTGGCCTTCTCTCGCCAGGAGCAAGCCAACGGGCCCGAGGCATCTGTCCCTCCTTCGATCCCTCAAACATGGACATGTAAATGCCACCTTCTCAGAGCTTCATGTTCGTCCTGTTACCCCCTGCTGCTGTAACGCTTAGTGCTTGCTCCATCGTTAAGGACACAGTTGCATCCTCTTAGTCTGGTATTTAAGACAATCCTGCCCCAACTTATCCTTTCAATCCCAGCTCCCACGACCCCCAGATGCTCTGCTCTGGCCAGGAAGGGGTCCTCCTTGTCTCCGATGCGAATCTTGCATGTTCTTGCCACAGTGACTTCAATAATGCACGTCCCCCCCTCTCCTCCACCCATGTCTGGATCCATGAGGACCCTGCTCTGCATCTGCTCTTCACCGCACCCCCCAGGAGCCCTTTCCAACTCTGAACGTGTGTGCCAAGAACCTTACCTGGCTCCCTTCTACATGGCTTCCAATCACCATTCCCATGTGCACACGTCCCGATTTCCTGACTAAGTTCTGCTCACCAGAAGGCAGCACTGCAGGCATAGAAAGTTGTCTCCCCCGCAGTGACTAGCACTGCACATTCCCTGTGGCTGCCCCCGGCAGCCGGCATCTCCGGTCTCAGTGCAGAGGGTCTTACCTGTAGTATCTGGACTGCAAGTAGGTGGAACACACAGCCTTGGACACGTGACTGGCTGACCCAAAGTCGATGACCTTCACTCGGTATGGTTGTCTGGACGGATCCACCAGCATGATGTTTTCTGGTTTGAGGTCTGCATGGATAAGACCCAGGCTCTTCAGCTTCATCAGGGCTGTGGCTACCTGCTGGAGGACTGGGCGAATGTACTTGAGGGGCAAGGGACTAAACTTGTTCTGCTTCAGAAAGTCATAGAGGTTCTGCTCCAGCATCTCAAAGACCAAGCACGTGTGATTCTTGTGCTGGAAGCACTCGTAGGCCCGGACAAAGTTGTAGTCGTCAGCACTCTCTGTGCTCAGGCGGGCCAGGATGCTCACTTCGATCTGACCTTGCCGGGCATAGGACGGGTGGTTCTTCAGGATCTTGATGGCCACAATTTCATTGGTGCCCCTTTTCCAGCACTTGACCACTTGCCCAAACGTCCCTCGGCCCAGGAACTCTAAAACTTCGTACGTGTTGGTCATGGAGCACAGCACCTCATGCTGGACCAGCTGATAGTCGCCTTCACTGTTGGAGCCACTGTTTTTGGAGGTGGCAGTCGAAGTGGTGGCAGTGGCTACAGTGGCCCCGCTGGCATTATTCTGAATCATGGGTGGATGCTCTTCGATGATCTGCACGCTGCTTGTGTTCTCAATCTCCTCACTCTTACGCTTGAGTCCGCATTTTTGGTAGGTGTCAAGGAGGCTCACAGTGCTTCGACGCATTAGGTTATGTGGTCCGCCGAGGACTTGCCCAGTGACAGAAGTGCTGCTTGCTGATGTGACCACTATGTGCCCGGTGCTTCCTGGGAAGATGATGGTCTGCTCGTAAGGTAGGCTTGGGTTCGGGATGGGCAAGGAGGTGCTGACGGTTGTGGTGGCTGGCTGAGAAGGTGGCACGTTCTTGCTCTGGCTATACACTTTGCTGTGGGAGCCGTACCCAGTCATGTCCCAGTTGGAACTCGGCTCTACTTTCAATTTCTTCACACTACAGAAGGCACTTGATTGAAGGGTGTGAGGGGAGAAAACTTGCACATGTGAGGCCATACCTACAAGAGACAGAAAGGAGAAAATTAATATTTAGTTGCCATCGCATGAATAAACTCAGCAGATTCATTTCCGTTCTAAGCAGTGGCTGGGGCTATAGAACGTGTCCCCCAACTCACACAAGGTTGCAGAGGTGAATCTATTCCCTCCAGAAGCACATCTGGTCACTCAGTTTGTGGGGCCAAGCAGTTTGTTGTTCTACCTGACACCACCAGGAGGTGGGAGACTGACAGAGTCAGGAACATATTTAAGATGGAGACACAGAATTTGAATGTCAGGACTTTGTTCATTATATATATTACAAAAAATGTTTGTGATAGAAATGAATTCTTCCTCAATTCTCACTGGTTGCAATCCCAGCAAAACTGAAGGGTGTATTGTTATGCAATTGTTATGTGTGTTGTCCTCCATGGTCAGTTACTCTTTGTCCGAGTCCCTGAGTGTCTGGTTCAGCCATATGAAGAAACATCTTCCCACAAAGGTCCAATCATGGAACCACTCAAGACCTGCTAGCTTCTGGAAGATCCATAATTACCCCTGGGATCTTATTCTTAAGTTACTCTTAGATGAATTCTATAGGGTTGAGTAGATAAGCAGTTGGTTCAGCGTTTGCATTTAGATAGTCTAAAGCATTATAACAACCTTTTGGGGCAAGTGGGTAATATAATTCGTGGGTTTCAGTCACTAACTTTTTCTGCTAAATGCATATATCAATAAATTAATTCATCTAGAAAGTATTATTCCAGACCAACATCTCACCCACAATTTAGATAACCTCAGCATAACTCTGGAATAGTTGTGCAAGTTATAATTATGGTGATAGTAGAAATAAAAAAAATTCATAGAAAATGTATTAGGAAAAATAAGACAATGAGGAAGAATAAGTTATTTTTTTTAAAATATATTTTATTGATTTTAGAGAGGAAGGGAGAGGGAGAGAGATAGAAACATCAATGATGAGAGAGAATCACTGATTGGCTGCCTCCTGCACGCCCCATCCTGGGGATCAAGCCCGCAACCCAAACATGTGCCCTTGGCCAGAATCGAACCTGGGACCCTTCAGTCTGAAGGCCGACGCTCTATCCATTGAGCCAAACCAGCTAGGGCAAGAATAAGTTCTTAAAGGTGACAGTAGAAAAACACAGTGCCATCTTCTAAGCTGCAGTCATTAACATCTCTTATAAGTGGGTTTCCTATCAAGCACTGTTGGTGTTCAGCCATCCTGATGTCCGCATTTCTCTGACCCCCTCATGTTACCCAGAGTGGTATTTAACATTTTCATTTTCGCCCCATTGCCCATCACCCTAGTCCAGCCTCTCTCTCAGCAGGCCACCCACCTTCCACTTTGTCCAGAAGCCTAAGGTCAGCAGTTTGCTTTCCACCTTTATTCTCTTCCTTTCAAAACCTGGGTGGGCAAACTTTTTGACTCAAGGGCCACAATGGGTTCTTAAACTGGACCGGAGGGCCGGAACAAAAGCATGGTTGGAGTGTTTGTGTGAACTAATATAAATTCAAAGTAAACATCATTACATAAAAGGGTACGGTCTTTTTTTTCAATTTTTTTTAGTTTTATTCATTTCAAACGGCTGGATCCGGCCTGCAGGCCGTAGTTTGCCCACGGCTGGTCTACACCCATCCTCCACTCTCTCCTCTCCGTCTCAGGGGAAGAGGTGTCTCCTTTCCGACTTCCAAAGTTCCCCTGTTCTCATGATTCACCCTTTCCGATTTCTCTTGAACCCCATTCCCTCCACTGTCCTCTCTTTCTCCTACAACTTTTAATTTCTTCCTGTTGATGGGATCCAAGTCCTTAATGAATCAGTGGCTTAATCTCTGTCTTCTGTCTTCTCGTGTGTCACATACACATTCCCAACTTGGAAGGCAAGGGGAGTGATCGCCATATTCCCCCCTTTGCTTTGTTCTTTCTTCTCACCTGTAATCAGCGCTAGACCCCTGCTCTTTAAGGCTCCGTCCTTAATCCACTTCCCCGCCACCCCACATACACACCCTGTGAGACTGTCCTAGAGATAAATGACTTCCTGCCTAACCCAGTGGCCTTTCTTCAGTCCCTAGCCTTTCTCGGTGACCTCTCTGCAACATCTGATACTGCTGACCGGGCTTCCTTCTTGATGCTCTTATCTGCGTCTACTCGAATCTGTCGCCTCCTCCCTATCTCACTGCACGCTGCGCACGGGGTGGCTTCTTTCCGCTTCCTCCTTTAAAATGCTGGCATCTCCAACATTTTGACTCTTCTCTCTCTAGAAGATAGAATCCATTCAAACAGGTAGAACAGTCATCTCTACGCAGGCGACCCCCACACGTTTAGCACAGGCGAGGCTCTCCCTTGTACCTTCCAGTAATATATCTCTGCCTCCTGCTTCATCAAAGACTATCATCTAAAGGTCAACTCATTATCTTTCCTTAAAAATGTAGCCACCTCACCCTCCAACCTGTCATCCCCATTTCTGTTCATAAAATAGTCTTCTAGTCACTTGGTTCCAAAACTATGCATTTACCTTTGATGATTCTTCTTTGCCTCCATGGACAAGAAGAAGGTGCTAAGTTTTATTACCCTCTCCTTCTTCAAAATGTCTCTTACATCCATCTCTTTATTTCTGTTCTTGTTGCTATTTCATAGTTAAAACATTTACCACTTTCTAGTAGAATTAAAGCGAACATAGACACCTGCTTTTTCTGAGCGATCTTTCTTCTTCTGATTTGCCATATTCAGCCACCAGACTAACTTGCCCAGGATTTTTCTAAGCATGTCACTCCTCTGTCCAAAAACTCTTAATGACTTTTTCGTGTCTAGAAGATAAAGTTGAGGACTCTTTCACTCAGCATCATCACATTTTTATTTCAACTACCTGTTGGCTTCATCTCCAACTATTAACCTTCCTCAATCTTCAACTCTAATTAAGCTGTTTTACTGTTTTTAAATGCCTCTCAAACTTCCTACCTCCACACTTTTACACCATTCCTCCATCTGGCACGACTTCACTATTTCTCTCAACTTATCTAAAGACAAGACAATTCAGATCCCTCCCTTTCCCAGACCTTGCCAAGCCACAGTGGTTACTCTCAGCTCTCCCTTCCTATGGCATCTACCATATGTACCACCCATTTGGTCACAAAATGCATTTCTGCCCTGCAAACTCTCTTGTCTTATTGGATTGAACCATTTATCTTTCGTGCTGCTTAACTTTTTACACATTTAGGTCCTGTTTTCATAACCAGGCTAGATTCTGAGGGCAAGAACTACAGTTCATACCTAATACTTCGTTGTGGTTTCCCCAGCACTGAGCTGAGTTTATGATACATGGTAGGCACGCAGTTGATAGGAGAAAGTTCTCTAACTGGCCTGGTCTCCAAGAGCGAGCTTAGCTCTGGCTACAGAGTCACAAGCACTTATTGAACCTGGACGCACTTCTCCGGGAAGTACGGAAAAACCTGCTAAAACCTTTTCATCCTAAGCAAGACATTTCAAAAACTCAGGACAGTCAGCATTCAGGTTCTGCCTGTACTCTCCCTGGACATGCTCTGACTTCCCTACACCTGCTCTGAACCCTACCTGGAGCCTGATCCCCTAGATCTGACAGAGGCCTCTTTACTTGTCTGGATCCTGAACTCCAATATGTGTGATATGACTACACTTCTCTGTGCCTCCTTCCGCTCACAGGACTATTTCGGTTTGCTTCTTCAGAACCTGTGCTTGACCTGTTTCTTCCCACTGCTCTTTTTGTTCAAGTCAACCTCCCCCTAATTCTATAATAACACAGAAAATGATTTTCTCTATTTACCAGTATTAAATATCCATACGGTTCTAGATGATGTATCTAATATAGAAATGACCAATCCCTTGGCTTTTAGTAACTAACTCACCCACTGAAGAGGCAACGCAAATAAGCGTTTTCTTTATCCTTTGGCATCTAGCTTGCCCCTTACTCCTCAACCACAAGTACTTCAGGGGGAGGGGGAGGGGGAGGGGGAGGGGGAGGGGGAGGGGGAGGGGGAGGGGGAGGGGGAGGGGGAGGGGGAGGGGGAGGGGGAGGGGGAGGGGGCCGTGTCAGTCAGGGCTGCAGTAGGAGAATATGCTGAAGTTACATAAAGGAGATGTGGCTCTATTTTGACTGTTTCAAAAAGATTTTGGTGGAAAGGCCAGGGTGTAGAAGTGGAATTTTACAGACGGGAAGAAGATGGCTTATGACTTATTGGGATGACGGCCAAGGGTCATAAAATTGTGGAAATCATCATTGGCTACGTCCGGGGACAGATGCCAGCAGCGGAGAGGCCCTGCATGGCTGGAAGTGCCCTTCACCACTGGCTGCCTTAGACCCTGGCCTGGCCTCATGCGGTCCCATTGCTCCTTTGATAAGGTCAACAGCTACCGTTCCAAGAACTAGACACAATTCATTCCGACGCAGCCTGATTCTTTCCGGCTTGACTGAGATGTAACTGACATGACATTGTGTAAGTTTAAAGTGCCCAGTGTGACGATTTGTATATATTTACATACATGTATATATTGTGGATTGATGATCACGATAAGGTTAGTTAATACATCCATTAACTCACATAATTACCTCTCTCTTTTTTTGGTGGTGGTTAGAACATTTAAGACCTACTCTCTCTGCAACTTTCAAGTATTATTCATTGTAGTCACCATGCTGTATGCTAAATCCCACAGCCGACTTCTCTAACAACTGGAAGTTTGGTAATACAGTCTCATTACCATTATTCTGTAGCAGAGGCCTTTTGGTCTAGGAAACAAATTATTATTATTACTGTTATTATTTAAAAATCTCTAATATACCTTATAAGGGATAAAACACTACTGGTGGTTGCATAGCTTAATCCTAAGATAATCTCACGGCAACAATCAAAGGTATTTCCGAACATCGCTCCTTGAGAGTGTTTTTCTGGAATAAGCGCCGTGAGTCAAGCCCGCATCTTTCACTTTGTTTCTCAGACCCCAGCGCTGGGCTCCAGGAGGGGGCACCTTTCT